CAATTTTATAATTTCCTAAAATAGCTTTTATTGGATCGGAAAAGTATTTTTCGTTTTTACCGTACATCACATCGGCCATCTTGGACGAGCTTCAACGAAGGATTCCATTTTATCTTTTGAATCTCATGGGAATGATGATTTAAAAAAACTATCAATTTGCACATTGCAGGGTGAACGAGGTATTAGTGGTCCTCCCGGTATCGATGGCAAAGATGGAGAACCAGTAAGTGATGGACACGTGATGATCACATGACGATGATCGGCATCATTTTCACTTTATAATGATTGACGCTATCAGGCGACATGATGATGGCCATAAAGGTGATGTGGTTCTTAGTGAATTCATTTTGCGGATGTATTCTTAGGGTCCCGATGGACAACCAGGATCCAGTGGACCACAGGGACCAACTGGAGATAAGGTAAGGAAGATATTTATCAAAAAGTGGTGAGCTAGCAATAATGATCCGTTCTCGTAATATATCTTGTGTCTCGAACTAATTGTTACATATATAATYCATCCCAAGGGCGAGAGCGGAGCACCTGGCACTCCTGGAGTTGCTGGAACCAACGGTGACCAGGTAGGCAAATTTAACATCCGATTATTTTGCACTCTTATCAACAACAAAGACTTATGTTGTACATACATAGGGACCAAGAGGTTTACCAGGAACTCCTGGACTCCGTGGACAAGACGGACCAGTTGTAAGTACATAATWATTTATTGAGGTTTTGTGTTTTGTAGTAAAAATTTTCAATCTAAAGGGATATTTTCACCTAAGGGCAACACAGGACCAATTGGACCAGTCGGACCCCGAGGACTTCGTGGACCCAAGGTAATCTATGATTTCATTTAGTTTCAAAGACATTAATTAAGCTTGTTTCGATTGAAATGTCATCGATATTTATCTGAATTTTTTAGGGCAACAAAGGTACTTTTGGCGCAGGAGGAAGACCCGGTATTACGGGCACTTTGGTAAGCTTAYGTCAAACATTCATGATTCSTTCATGTGGCATCTCAAAATTGTTTCTCATGACATATTTATAAATTGGTAAATGAGTGAATATTGTATATTTTTATCTTAGGGTCAACGTGGTACCCCTGGATCTAAAGGKGAAGATGGTTCACCAGGTCGTCAGGTAATCGTTGTCTGCTAAAGGGAGGGGGAGTTCTGAGAACCAAAGATCACCAACCTTTTTAGATGCATTTGCAAAACAWCAGATATAGATAAATGCATCGCATCTCAGTCTTGTTGCAAATAATTTCTTATCCTTGATAAAATGCATTCCGTTTTCTTTTCGTTTATTAACTATACTATTGTGGTTATTGGTAGGGTTTGCCTGGTTTATCTGGACGACCTGGACGACCAGGACCTCCTGGACCACCTGTAAGTCAATGCATATTTATAAGTGTCAATAAATGGCATGTTGTAAAGACTAGGTATGAAATAGACCAACGATTAACTGACCAACGTACTGGCAAATGTACGAATGGATGAAGAACTGTTTCAATAACTGAGTCTTTGCAGCTCGAAATATATATCGCCGAACGTTTAATCGTGACATTGAGTTGGCCTGATGTTTTGACTTGAACGACTGACTGTTTAAGAAATCGTTAATTGCGTAACTTACTGAATAAAATTCATGAAAACCCGGCTGATAGTTKAACTCGCTGAATTATTACACTGAGTTACTSAACATTCTCAATATCAAGCGATCTTGCCATCTTGAACTAAAGGACTTGCAACGGTTATTTTCAGGGACCCCCCGGTCCGACCGGTATCCCAGGACGTGATGGAGTGAACGGTGCTAAGGGCTCATCTGGTGAGCCAGGAAGACCAGGAAGAGACGGAGAGCCTGGACAGCCAGTAAGTTGTACGGCGTAATTGTGTATTATGGTACAATCGGCGATTTTGGTTCAAACATCATGTAGTAAGCGGCCGGCATCCATTTGGTTAATAATTATCCACAATGTACCAGAATACTCTTATATGAATATTTAGCTGATGACCCATTAATTATGATGGTTTCTTGTTTTTAGGGATTACCAGGAAGGGAYGGTGAGCCTGGATTACCAGGACCAGATGGACCAACTGTAAGACTCTGTTTGGTGGGATAGAAGTCGTAGAAAAACATATGAATATCAAAAAATTTTCTTTGTTTAACAGGGAAAACGCGGAYCACTTGGAATTAAGGGAATTAAGGGAGAGAAGGGACCAGCTGTAAGTATACTATTATACTCGTAGTTCATACAATAGTCTCTTTTCTCGTGTTGTCCTKTCGGTATGATAACCTTCACATTTTTGTCAGGGCCCCCCCGGAATTCTTGGTAATCGTGGCCAACCTGGACCTCGAGGCGTAAAGGTGYGTAAAACTACAGTATCAGAAATAATCAAGTCGATAATGATGACGATTATGATAACGTTGATATTTGAGAYGATTTTCGTTAAACTCTAATACTCTCGTCTCCTTCACGGTTACCTGCTCCACGTTTAAAGGTAGCCGTGCCTTTACATTGAAGCGAGACAACCGTTGGGCGTGCAATGATAGGAACCTGTGAATAACTGTCTGTAGGTGTTAAAGAAGGTTTCTATCATTGCACGCTCAACGGTCGTGTCGCTACGATGCAAAGGCATGGCTACCTTTCAAGATGTTCATTCTSACCAAAAAGACATCATTTCGGTAGTAATGATGATCACAGACAACAAAATCAAGATATGACGACTCTTAATAGTTTCAAACTATCATATGAATTTAGGGCGAACAAGGTCCTGCCGGCAAAGATGGACGTAGTGGAGAGTCCGGCCCTGTTGTGAGTATTTCTACAAGTAAACTATTATATAACTATCATCATCTCATATCTTACAACATGCTGACCTGYCTCAGTGCTATTTCATACATCAAACTGAGTTCACCTGACTCTTATAATATCATGCAGACTGTTCCATAKTTTGGGTTAGGAATTTGATACCGACATCACAAACGAGAGCTGTTTTGTTTAGCTTAATTATCTTAAATTTGTATATAAACGATTTGTAAACCTTGCTGTATTTTAGGGTCGTCGCGGACCAATTGGTCCAGCCGGTGACCCTGGAGTGGATGCGGAAACGGTAAGTTRTATGTTTTTCCTTGTGTTTATTATTTAACAATTACAAGATTTGTAATCTAGACTATAATTTTTGTAGGGTAAAAATGGCACCAACGGTGTACCAGGAACTCCAGGAATTCCAGGGTTAGATGTAAGTTTTCAGTCTAAGCACAATTTCTTCTGTTCTATATATAATCTGAATGAATGATCAATTTTTTTTATTAATAACCGCACTGCTTATCTTACTTAAACCAAAAAAGGGAGAGCAAGGAGCTCCTGGAGAACCTGGTACCAATGGTAAACAAGGAGATGTCGGACCATCGGGTTCTCAAGGCCCAATTGGTGAACCAGGACCACAAGGTCCAAAGGTGAGCTTATTCCGGATYATTTCGTTACCTTAACGGTGCAGTTTAATGATGGGTATTCTTGTAGGGACCTCGCGGACCTGACGGTAAGAATGGAGCACAAGGCTCACCGGGATTGCAGGTAAGATGTCTTATTCCTTCTCCGATCCGATTCCCGAAACAGGTCAATAGTCTTATATATTGCTATGTTTCMAGGGAGAACGAGGTGTTGAAGGTTCTAAAGGCTCACGAGGTGAAGTAGGAGAGAAGGTTAGTAACTTTTTATTCATTATCTTTACTATTAAACTGTAGGCGTTCCATCGCGTTTYATCAGAAACAAGAATTAAGACCGATACTCACCCTTCWAATCTGGAAGGGTAYCGGTAGTAGAAATCCGAAGGTCGTGGCTTCGAATCCCCTTCTCAAGCACTATAACTTTCTTTCTTTAAAATTCTGTCAACCAAATGACTAACTTGATAACACAAACCTCAACTTCATAATATCCTTATAGGGAGACAAAGGATACACTGGTTCGCCCGGAGGACCCGGMGCTCCTGGAGGAGCGGTAAGTTTTTTCCTTGAAAATATTTCCACAAATCAGGACTTGCCATTTAGTCATGCTTTCAAAAGCATCAGTACATCTTATCCACGTTTTGAGTTAATTATTACATTAATCACGTTTGTTGTTCAAACCAGGATACTAGTTATACTTCGGTAACGCTGAAGTCACATTGATTATTGATAATTTTTAGGGAGCAAGAGGTCCACCTGGTATTCCTGGTAGCAGCGGCCCTCCAGGAACACGTGTAAGTACTTGTTACTCTGTCAATAAAATGAAGCAAAACTCAAGAGAACATTTTGTACGACTTACTTCAAAATCGATTATTCCCATATGGTGCTATAAGATGGGGGATCTATAGTTGATAAGGGAATWAAAAGACAAATGATGCAATTCAATATGGGGACGCAATGATGTACACCCTTTGATGATAGAGATAGACTGAGAAGAAACCAAGACAAATTTTATTTGATAATACGAAAGGCAATCCAAATAAATCAAATCACCACATTTTCAATCGAAAAAGGTTTGTTGAATTAAAGAAAAAGAGACTTAAAAAATGCTATGAAAGGAATGTTCATTAGAATTTATGAGAATCTTATAAGTGTAATAACTGTAGCATGATTGTCGTAGGGTGCTCCTGGCAACCGTGGTGTCGAGGGACCCAAGGGACCAAACGGAGTTCCAGTGAGTATTGTCTTTTTATTACAATTATTCTTTCGATTTTTTTTTTCATGAAAAATTTCTAATGAAAAAGTTGTTTTGGGTTTTCTTAAAATTGATTGAATTTTGTGAATTTTCTCTAGGGTGATCCAGGCTCTGTTGGACCTGTTGGAGATAGGGTAAAACGCTTATTATACTTGCTTACTGTTGTATTTAGTGATGTTTTGCTATAAAATAAATATACGACATATTTGTCACTTGAATAGAAGGCATGCTAAGGCGCACGTAGCTATAAGCCTCGTTTGAAATGGAGTAAGTTTTAAYATCCGTTGCAGGGCTATAAAAGACGTCTGTAACAGAGTTCCTAGCGCCTTGTGAAAACAAACCGTTTAGTCGTAATTATGTAGCTGTAAAGCTTTTGTCCTTTTTTCCCCTAATGATTGTTTCTATATGATATTTACTATATCTTTGTTTACGTGTTTTTAACGAATTATTTTTATCATGTATTGATTTCAATTGTTTACTTTTTATTTTCCAGGGTGATCGCGGAAATGCGGTAGGTCAATGATTTCCCATGGCAGTCAGAACAGATCCCATGCGAATATTTACATTGTRTTATCATAACCCAGCATTAGCTGAAGCTTATTATGCTGTTTTGCATAAAGTTTTGCTTAAAATATTGCTTTTAGACTGGAATCCCTTGCTTCATTGACTTATCACTGTGATTAATAGATAAATAGATAAACTTACTTCAAATAGCTTCATCTCTCGAAAAAAGATAAAAGCTTAAACCATAGYGCATCATAGGRTGTTTCAAAACTACCAAATTGCAACAAAGGCACATTCGAAAGCATAGACKTTTGCATACGTCTCTCYCATGCACAAGTTGTTTCCGATAGCATTTAAAGTTTTTACAAATACGAACACATATAGTACTTTTCGATCCTAGTACTTTTTTCCATGGTAATTTGTGTGTTTTTTTTATATATATATGTTTATGTCCTATAATATGGTTCATCATTTTAATAATTCTGCGTTTTTTTATATTTTTTTTTATATCAACAGGGAAATGCCGGTCGTGATGTAAGTAACATGTATTGCTTTTAAGGGATTTGTAGATAAATGTCAATTTAATAAGGAGTGCTTGGTAAGTTCCCATGTTAACCATGTATGTTTGTTCAATTGACAGGGAAGCCCAGGACCTCCAGGACCTCCAGGACCACCAGTTAGTACAATATCGCTTGATAACATTATGTTAAGTAAGATTACTAAACATAGATGTGTTATCTTGTTATTAGGGCTATCCGGGACAGTCACCAATTGCAGGGGTAAGTTGCAAATTACGCTGATTTCTCGCTGCTGAGGTTTATATGACAAAAGATCGGCAAACCCGTTTTCAATGAGCCACTGGCATAGCGCGCGCGGTAATGAAGTCGTCTTTAAAATAGCAATATGTATACAAAGTTAAGCAACATGTACACATTTGCATTACTTTTCATTCGCATCGAAATGACCAATTAATGTTGTCGAATCGCAAAAAGGCGAAATCATCAAAGCCAACTCCGAAATTACTCAGAAATTCAAATAAAATCTACCTAAACATCTTACATTATAGCGTTACTCGTAGAAAAGGTCATWTTATTCAGTGCAGGCGATCTTTTCACTCTAAAACACTGTTATACACAWARTATTYGYTTTCYMATGCTCCCTTTCGGTCTAGCTTTCATGATGTAGCGTTATATCCCGACTACGCTCTTTCAATTAGTTGTAAAGATCTTAATTTTCATATGAGATTTCTCTTTGTTTTAACTTTTAGTACCTCAGYGTTGGTGCAGTGGAGAAGGGACCTTCATATAGATTGTACAAACGTGCTGAGGTAAGTAAACACCTTGAAAGCCAACTTTAAATAATATCATTTCTGTCGCTGAGCATGGATGATAATGTTAATGAGATTGTAAGAAATACTTTCTCACAAAGAACTTTGATGTTGCAGAATAAACCTAAAGTTGRCGAAGATACAACACAGGTGAGTTGCATAGMTCCAAGGCTCTGTAATATATGTATGTGGAGGTTGTTATAAGCACATCGTAATTTTCTCTTCAGGGCTTCTTCTCCCAGCTCGAGCAATTTACTATAGATTTTGAACAACTCACTAAACCAACTGGAAAGGACAAAGAATTCCCTGCCACGACTTGTCGGGAYATTAAATTAGACCATCCAAAATCTACGAATGGTAAGTGCTAAACTTTAATTCCTCAACATTATGCACGTTATCAAACGTTTTCCCTCAATAGAAATATTATCTGCAACTATTACGAATCTAGTCGTATAACGAAAAATAGCAATGTAGAAGTGCGATATTTTGGTTTACCTATGTTTAAATCAAATAACAAATCCATGTGACTGCAGTCATCCTATAGAGTAATGTTTATWAATTTTCGTATTGTTTAAAACTCCGTAAATTAATTTTGTTGCTTATTTTTTGTAGACTATTATTGGATCGATCCTAACGGGGGTTCAAAGAACGACGCCATTAAGGTCTTCTGTGACTTCAAAACCAACTCCTCGTGCATTGATCCCAAAAAAGCCAAGGTAAGTCTCGCATTTTAGTTGAACGTAAACGGTAATATGAAGGGGCGGATCGAGGGGAGGTGCTYTAGGTGCGGACGCACACCCATTTTTGAGAACGTAAATTTTTTTATATATCAGTATAAGCGTTTCATTCTGCTGTTTATACTCCTGTTGTATTTTTAATCGAGAAAACGACAGCATACATAACAAGTGTCTGCAACTATGCTGCTTACAGTCTATAACAATCTATTTGAGTAGTGTAGTCGAAGATACGTTGCAATAAAAGTCAATTTGCTTCCGGTCAAAATGTGCATAATTTTCTTGCTCTAGACAAGACGCAGCTAACAAAAATGATCAGTTCCATCTGCTATACTTAGTTTTAACCATATCTTACCCACCCCTTATAAAATGCTGGATCCGCCCCTGAATATGTAAATTACTAAAATATACTTTTGAAATAATCTTCCGTTTCGTGTCGACGAACGCCAGTTTTCTTGGCAAAAAATTGCCGTTACATTTTCGCTTAGCCTGTGCTGTAGAGCCAAGAAAATCGGGACTATAGACTTAATACTACCACTAATAACTTCATCGATTTGGTCTTGTTGTGTAAGGCGGCTATCAACAATATTTGACTTCTGTTTCAGCCAATTTCTGTTGAAGTGTCATCACCAGGTGAATCATGGGTGTTCGAGAAAGAGGAAGAAGGAGTAAGTACCTTGTAGACCATATTATMCAATAGTAGTCCTTTTGTTATTGTTAAAATGTACATGTTTCTATGCAGATCGAATACAGCGCAACAAGGGGTCAGATCAACTTCCTACGTGCATACAGCAAGCAAGCTACCCAAAATATTACATAYCATTGCCGAAATTCAAAGGCTAGAGTCAACAATAAATCTCTTAAACTTCGTGGTGACAATGACATGAACATGGAATTTCACTCCAAGAGTTTAGCTAAACTTAGACCTTTAGTATTTAAGGATGAATGCACGGTGAGTGATGATTATAACGAAAACGCTTTTTATGGACAGCTTGTACGAGAGAGCATGCAATACAAATTCAACAAGGAATGCACCAATAGAGGATTCCCAAGATGCTTAGACTGATTCCATAAGTCGTAGTATTCGCTCCTCGATTTTTCGGTTTGTCGCTCAAACTAGCGACTGTCCAGGAGCAGAAAAAAGAGAGCGACCTGACAGACTGGTGGAATCAGTCTACAAGGTGCTCTGATGCTTTTAAAATTTCGCAGGAGCGCGCACAACATCGAGSTAGCTACGGGCAGTGATTCTATGCAAACTCAAATTTCCATGCGTRCACCTGCGCTCATCTCGGTAATCGTCTATCGTCTCCGTCGACTCCAAAAAAGGAACACCTCCCTGTTCAATGGCTGTCCTTTTGCATTCCCATTTCTTCGCGCTCGCGAAAGGATGTACGAGGTAAGATGAATCGTACTGATTACGTTGCATTTATTTTCAGAYCAATGACAATAAATGGCACAAAACAGTCCTCAAGATTGACACCAAGCACAAACACAGGCTGCCCATCGTAGATGTGTCTGTATTTGATTTAGGCAAATCCGATCAGAGAGCGAAGATAGAAATCGGATCCGTTTGCTTTGCGTAATAAGTGGAGCAATACGGGACGTTTTTTTATCATGCCGCAAACAGTGTTTTTGTACATTATCCAAAATATGTCCAATGTATTAATGAAGACGATCAGGATGCGAGCAGGGTTAGAAGGTAGACTGACTGTAATCTGTAAACACGTTTTCTTGCGTTAGTTCGTTATTAAAGTACATATTGTATGTTCGGTCGATATGAATAGTCCTTAAGTGATTCTTATTTTGGCTCTGTATTAATAAATACTTGAACTATCACAACGGACGCTTGTAAATGGTAAACTCATATATCAATGTGTGGTTTTCATTAGTCAATAGTAGTCAATAATATTTACTCAAATTGTTAACAATCACGTGGTTTTCTGCAAATCCCAGCAGCATATTATTGATATTATTCTTTTCAATTTAAATAGATAGCGTTTGGTATATAAAACAAGCTAGACTAATGATCCACGGACTACATTAAAGCGTTTTCCACAAAATTATTGAGATAATAAATACTATTATAGTATTATATATACTGTTGCATAGCACTTTTATCTTATGGTATTCACCATTAGAACCTGATTAATAACCATGAGGCTACTGAAATAAAGCCCTGGTCAAATTTAACCCTTAGAGTATCCGAAAGGAATGAGCCTATCGTCAGGCCTCTCAAAAAGTCATAATCTGAACAGGACTGCATTCAGACTGCATAGATTCTAGACCCTTTTCATCTTCCAACCGAAATGTAAGGGCAGAGACTTCGATAGGTCGTCATAGTAGGGTCTGTGTGCGAGAATGAACAGGACTACATCATCCCCTTCAATCTTTGTAGATGTCCACTAAAATTCATCATCATTCAGCCTCGCTTTATCTAATAGTTTGCCGAGTCTATTTCAACTCCATCTCGCTGGAAAACTAAAGATGGATCGACAAAGTCTTGCGTCCGCTCAATACGTCATTTCTGTATACAAACAAATATGGAAAACGCGCGAAAATAATGGCGCGAAACATGGACGACGCGCGCCCGTGGTAAGTATTTTCATTATTTCTGACTCAGTCGACGATCGGTCCTTGTGGAAGATATTTTGCCTTTATCATAAGCCAAAAAGGAAAATGATATTGCTATATACATACTGTCTGTATTATGGTCAGTACGTTGAGCACTGAAAGCGTGAAAAGGGGTCTGTAAGTTTATATCATCTTATAAATTGACATTTGCTGCAAGGATCGACAACGAAGTGAGGTACAACCGAAGCCTTCACAGCATCTTTTAGCCTATTAAAAGCCCTGTTCAGGTAGGCCATTATAAATGTGTTGGAAAATTGTTAGCCTTGTTCGATCTGTAAGATTACACTCTGTATGCTTCCTAAAAAGTGTGTTTGGTAAAATTAATGAATAAAAAGCAGTTTTCCTTGTATTTTACTCTGATAAAAACACGGGATGTGGGGAGAACACGAGAGAAGCGTAGGATCCACCTTCTCTAGTGTTCACTCCACATCCAAATCTTATAAACTTTCATATTCAACTATCTGAAGATTGTGTTTTGGAGAGTCTCTGCCTTCATTTCATGATAGTCTTCAATAGTTTTAGTAAGACTTAGAGCACATTCATGGACCGCGGAGCAGGGGGGGCTGGGTGGCTACAGAGTTAAGAGAGTTAAGATTTCAAAAATTTCCGAAACCCCTAATACCTCCTCGCTCGCCGCTAGCCCCCACAAAGAAATTCACGCTCCGCGGTCCCTCAGGACATTGCTTAGCAAATGGTAGTGTTGTAATATATCAATTACTAAAACAAATATCTAGTTGTCTCTAGCTTAGTTTTTTATTCAGACGCTTCGGTCTGCTCTCAGATCTTCTTCAGTGCAAAAAATGAATTCCGTTACAATTACATTGCCATATTTCCCGAGCTCGACAGGAAATGCCCGGTAGACCCGTATAATACTCGCCGGCCGGAGGAAATAACACTCTTTGTTTTCAAAAAACATAGAAGCTGACACCGAAAGGGAATCAATTATTAGTAATTTATTTTATGCTAGTACAGCTGTAGCTGCATTATTTGGACCTTATTTTATTTTAAGGCAGATTTTTGTTAATCTAGGGAGGGGAGGGTAGAACAAATCCTAGGGATCCACAGGAGCATGCCAACAAGACACTAACATTTCCGGGAATTTCCCTGATAGCACAGAGCACTGCAGTTAAAACACAGCACAGCAAAAAGGATCACATTCTAAGTCACGATTTGGACATATTTCACATGCTGCTTACTAGCAGGATGAAAACATGACAGAATCAACAGAATCACTTCGGAAAGCTGTTTGCAGCTACAAGTCACACATCGAGCAAATCACTGAGATAAGGAGAGAGACTATCGAKTGTCTACAAGAAATTCAAAGCGTTATAAAGCTTGATGGCAGGAAAGAATTGGCAAAGCTTAAAGCTCTGCAACTACCGGAATCCGAGCTTAACAAAAGGCCTTGTATTTTGTTCATTGGAAGCCAAAACTGTGGTAAAAGTACCCTGCTTAATGTTTTCCTTCGAAAATCATCTCTTTTGCCAACCGACGAAACTCCATGTACGTCAAGAATTGTTCGTATTGTTTACAGTCCCACAAATCAAACTAAGTTTGAAGACCCCACRACGAAGTTAGAGAGGATCAAGTCATTTAAAACCAAAGTACCTCAAGGTATAATCGTCCTGGMAGGAGAAGCAAGAAATGATAGTAATCAGTTAAAAGTAATTGTGGAAGTTGGACTGAATCATCCTCTGCTGGAGTGTGGGATCGAGTTGATTGATTCRCCAGGTCGTAATGAGAATGCAGCGCTAGACCAAGTTGTAGAAGAGTTTGTGGGTAAAGGAATCGTTCCTCTTATTGTGTATGTTATCGATGGGAACTAYCACCTACGAGAAAAGGTAAACTTTTTAACATTTTGGTGATCCTATGTTGTTTCCGTCTTGCATGACTGAACCGTAGAAACAAGACAAAACAAGTACAGGCAGCCTAGCCATTAATTGTGGAAAAAGTGTTGGTTAAAAAAATATTAGTCAAGACTTACTAATGATATGCAATACACAGGTATAAAATGAARTATTTGCCGGAAATGCAGTTTTGAACGTTTTAAAATGATCATAAAGRGACACTGTCAATGGATGACATGCGCAGTAACARTCTTGCCTCTAACGGACTTTGAAASTATTACCTTCRRGGTAAATCAATGTTTTGACACACTTTGGAATATTMTAGATCTGTTTAYGTTTACGAGTACTTTTTTTGTCATGCGTCGCTCCAACTTGGAGTCGTAAMCTTGAAAACATTAGCCTAATCTTTTTAAGATTACTCGCGCATGCGTGCCATTGACAGTGTCCCTTTAATATTATYACTTACAACTATTTTTTTCTTACTTTTGTTTACTTTTGTTTCTCTTTTTTCCCTTTCAAAGGACCGTATCACAATCAGGGAGCTTCAAGACAAATTTCCAAATGTTACTTTGATGTTTGTTTGCAGTAAAGTCGATATCGACGGAAATGCTCATAGATACGACAAAAAGGACGATGATGACGACTGCGAAGATGGAGCTGATGATGAATTAGAAGAAATAATTAAACTTACGAGAGAGAAGAAAATGGCAGTGTTTAAACAGTTGAAGAGGTCAGAGTTTCTTCCTCCTGAAGAACAGATAGACTCTTCTGAATTGTTCCATGGACTCTCRGCAAAACATGCTAGAAGAGACCGCAAGAAAAAACTAAAAACCCAAGCAACAATGAGCTTTGAACATTTTGAACTCTGCATTCTAGAGAAGCTTGAAAGCGCATTACGAAAGCAAAGTAAAAGAGAGTTGGCAGCCTTACTCACAGCTCAGGAGTTCTTTCTTGCCTCAGTAGTCGGCACACAGCGGAACTGGTTACTCCGAGTTCGACAATTTGAAATAGACTGCAAGCGCGCAAAAGAGGCAGAAGAAGCCATTATTAACATGGTAGAGAGTTTAATCAACAAAGGAGATTCTATCTTGAACTTTATTGAACACGACGTAGAGAAGCTATCTGTGATCCTGTTACAAGAAGCTCAAGACTWTCAATGCACTACCAAGGGTATAAAGAATGGAAACGTCGTCGAAGCTTTTTCGCGRCACTCAAAGGGCGCAATTCTTGACAGAKCATTYAACATTTTAAGGCGTTCCTTTAAGCGAGTGTTGAAGTTAAGTCTACTTGATACAGTGATTTTGACTGAGCTAATGAAGAAAATCAATCCYTTTCTCCGTCGAATGCTACAAAGAACACTGGGGAACGAATGCGAACTCCAGCAGCATGACAAAGACCCCGATAGCTTTCAGGTTTACAATGTCATCGAAAAAGTCATTGATTCTATCAGCGATGATGTAGATACCTTACTACGTAACCACATCAAATATCAACTGGAAAGTGTTGATATTAACCAAACTCAAACTGCATCAAGACCAGACGATCCGCTGTGGAGACGAGGTGTTGTACAGAGCCTCCTTGCCAAGATTGACGTCAAATATTTGGCAAAGGAAGTGATCTTTACTTGCGAAAGAGCTCTCCTGAAGAAACGTCAGGAATTTAAAGCAAGCATCGAAGCCATCGCCATTCTCAACGTTTTTTTCTCTGAGGAAAAGTTCAACGATATCCGTACTAAGCATACCCCACACGTGGCCCATCTAGCGGTAAGGGGGCATTCCTTACGTTACGTCATAGAGAGAGGTCCACCTGAACTCGGACCCCAAATCAAAGCCACTCCTCACGGTTTTCTTTACTGTTGTACCAGTCCACTTTGGGTCCACAGTGACGACTGTGTGATCAAGGTTGTGAAGAGAAGCGATGTGGACCGAAAGGTTTGGAGCCAAACAATGCGGGATTGCATGCATTTTAAGTAAGTAAATTAAGATTTCAGAGGTAGATTTGAAATCCGGCCTTCATCTCGAGCCTTATTCCTATTGTCGCATTTGTTTGTTGCATGAATCTGTAGATTTTTGTCTTAGGAGTGGTCCAAAACTTGTGAAATAGATGAAACTAATCGCGAATTTCATTACGATTCATCTTATGTGACTATTATGAATTTTTATCACTTTAAACCTTAGTTCAAGTGTAGATTGTATAAATGTGATTTTTGTTGATTTGAAGGGACATCAACGACAAACTTTGTATGCAACACCCAAACCTCCTCGAATTAAGAGGCTGGTATTTTCCAGATCCTGACCAGTTRTATATCGTGATGGAGAAAGCAGCATTTGACTTATTAACGGCGTTGAAAGGGGGACTTTCCTGGGCAAGACGAAAGGAGTTGGCCGTCGATGTGGCTAGGGGACTAGAAGCAATTCATCGAGTGCACTATGTATATCAAGATCTCAAGCCTCAAAACGTCATGGTAAATATTCAAGCTACTTGATGAAACCTTTTTTTTTTTTGTTCAATTGGTTTGTTAATAAAAGGTATACATTGGTTTCCATAGCCTTCTCCTTAGAGAGTTTCGTTTAGTCGACTATTTGGTTCTTTTGGGAGTGAGTTACTGAGCGGTCAATTCCTTTCACTTTTAACCTCCTTGAGAGTTCAGAGTACTGAGAGAGTTGCTTGATTTTGTTCAATTCATTGACTCGTTTATATTATAATTCTTGCAGGTCACGTCTGATGGCATCGCCAAAATAAATTTGTGCAAACCAGAAAAGCCGTTTGAAAAGACACAAATAGGCCTTCCTTTTCMCATATCCCCAGTGATGTTTGACAACTACAATCAAGAATTTGCTTCTACAGCTTACGATATCTACGCCTTCGGATCGTTACTGTGGGTGCTGTGCGAGGGATCTGGTACCAAAGGACCCGAGGCCTACTCGCACTGCCAAGACATCGAAGCCATGAAGTTTGCTGTTTGCGACCGTGGAATCAAACCCGAACGTCCTGCTGAAACCCCAGATGCATGGTGGGATTTATTGAGTGTTTGTTGGACCGGTGAGATTGAAGACATCAAAGTTATACTGGAGAAGTTACCCAACCTCGAGACACAACCCTAATCCACCCTAGGTCGTAGGCATAATCTTCTGTGTGTATAGTTTTTATTTTTGTAGAAAATATATGGCGTATTTTTTCAATGTCGTTCTAATTTCACATATTGATTGCATCAGTTGATACCTGTGCGCTACAAACGATGTATCACAAATATTAACAATAATATGTGTAGTAAATGACCTACTTGCTCGGTTAAGATCACATACAAAATAATCATAACTTAACGCTGCTGAAAAAAATCACGCACTTTAAAAGGCTGTAAATTTGATGTAAATATTATGTAAGTGTSCATAATGATGATTTACATTAAATTTACATCATTTTGGACACTTGCATRATATTTACATCAAATTTCCAACCTGCAAAGTGCGCGTTTTTTTCTAGTGTAATCGCGAAGCAAAGTCTTCAATCGATTATATACAGTATACATGGATCTTTATAATGTAGATCTCTAAAAGGTTTTTAAAGGCCATGAAAACGTATCAAACACACGTAGCTTGTAATTTCAAATGTAAGAAATCATGTCAAAAACTGTATAGTAATGCAATATTCTATAACGCTAATCATCTATATTATACATTTGTCATCTAGAATTTGTTTTAAGTCCTTGACTATGTCGTCAAAAGATGGTCGTGCTTCTGGGTCATCTCCCCAGCACTTTTCCATCAACTTCCAACAAGATGGAAGGAAGCAATCTTTATGTTCCGGTTTTCGTTTTTCTTTTGCATTGATTGCCAGCATAATAAGCGGAACTGGAAAGAGAAAAATGTTCTGAGGTTGATTGCCTTGTCCTTCGCATACTCGCCACATTAGGATCCCAAAAGCGTACACGTCGACGGATTTGCTATAGCACTGTGCGATCATCTCAGGAGCCATTGCAATAGGTGTACCCACTAAGGACCCAGATGCAAGACCCTCTGGTTTACATAGGCCAAAGTCTGTTAGATATCCTCGGTTATTCTCATCCACCTAAGAGACAAAATATATATTTCTTATTTGGAGTATATGTTTAATCGCTGATGGAGCATTATTACATTTTCAATTTTCGTGCCCATCCATATTCGGTCTATAACACTCGTAATATAACTGCACCTGTGCACTAGAATCGTTTTTCGTCTTGGGCTAATCAAAGGAACGGCGTGTATGACTTAGAAAAATTCGATTTTTTCTTTTTTCCAATATTAGAGTAGAGATTTTAGAAATGAAAATTCTCTAGGTTCTAATCCCAGTTTTTTAAACAAACTTTTTTCAAAATGGCGACATCTGGTGATCAAATCAACTAAATTACATTCCCATTTTTTGACTTTATTTTTATTTAGCAACAAATAAGAGCTCTAATTTCTCCAAGCAAAACACAAAAACATACTGCAAGCTTCCAATTCAATTCAATTGCAAAGCATAAAAACAACTGCCAGCTGTCCCTTCAGGGATTTCAATTAATAACACAGAGTTGGCATACCAGAACATTTTGTAGCTTGATATCTCGATGCATGAGTCCTTTGTGGTGCAGGTATTGCAAGGCCAATGCGACGTCCAGGAGAATCATCAGACGTATTCTTAGTGATGGAATCTCTTTCAAAGCATTTTGAAGATCGCATTTCATTCTTTCAGTGACGATTGATACTCGTATACCGGTCGAGGGGTTGGGTTCTATCGTAGTACAGACAATGGGAAGAATGTTCGGATGACTTATTGTCCTAAATCAACATAAGGCACTTTGAGTAATAATAAAAAGGAACAAATAACATCAGCATCCTTCTCTATTCGTAAAGGAAATATTATCATAGAAGTACAGCAAAAATAGCAACCCATAAGTTTATATATATATTCGCTTTTTATGAAAAGAGGGCAGATAACTCCGACTAAATCCGTCCCTGTGTTTCAATGTTCTATCTCATCAACCATGGAAATACACAATCATATGKAAGGTGGTTGTTACGAAATCCCCGTTCATTTATACCCCAAATCCAAAAATGTGATAAAAATGTGTTTCGATATATAGTATACCTTGTGGTATGGAGTTCAAGTGTCAAATCCTTTAGAAGACTTTCACTGCCCACAGGAACCACTTTCACAACACAAGGCTTTCCCTCAGGTGTCACGATATTCCTGCACGTGAAGACGTTTCCCTGAGCTCCTGCACCAATCATTTCTCCTGGTTGGGGTCGACCAAACCTTGCATGGTCGTTCACACTGTGACACAGCATCTCAAGACTGGCGACGTCTGGTGCAAAATCGAGGATAACTGCAGATGAACAAATTTAGTAAGTTGTGTTATTAAAMGTATTACTTCTCAAGTTCAAATTAAAAACAGTATACCTAGCGACAAAGGTTCAAAAGCTACTTTCATTTTCTTACCTTTTCTTTGTTCATCTTTCAGTGTTCCCCCACGTCTTAACACCCGCAGAATGTTTTTCAGCTGCTCGATGAACTGGTTGTGGCAACTTTCGAAATGGCTTTTCAGGCTTTTGATCAGTTCGGTGGCAACTTGGGGAACATTAATTTCGGAGATCGTCTCAAGGGCAGTCTTGCTTTTCCACTCAGGATCACCAACTTTAACTTTGCCTGTGATTGTTGCTCTTGGGTGCTTCAAAAATGCTACCAAGATTTCACGAAATTTTTTGAACAATTTCTCCCAACTAAAGCCATTACTGCGAATATCTGGATTCACTTGGTAACATTTGACAAGGTTATTGTGCAAAGCAGCGGAAGCTTCATAAGTGGTAGTTTCATCTAAAGCCGCTTCCTCCTCAATCGTCTTCACTCTCTGCTCGAGTTCCTCGAAGAAATTATCACGAGTGCTGAACATCTTCATTAACGTAACCTCTATACGTTTGAAGACGGCATTAAAGACCAGTTGTTGGATCTGCTTTCGACATTGACTAACTGCTTCCTTACTCTTAACAAAACCATCGCGAATCGGCAGTGAAAACTCTTCACCGTATTGAAATGTTCTGGCTTCTTGCGGAACAGTACCTTTGAGATCATCAATAGCTTGAACCATCACATCAACAATCTCCGATTTGTGCTTCTCAACTTGTTGAGCCACGTTATCATGTACCAGTTTCTCTTCCTCTTCGATTCTATTGAGCATAGCAATAACAGAATCTCGGTTTTGCTTCAAGCTGTTAGCTTTTTCAATAAAGAAATACAAACACCTCTGAAGGACGGAGATCAATGTCTGGCAGGACCTTCTGGTGCTTGCCTTGAGACTTGTATCGGAAAAGTTCTTCAGGCATGACTGGAAGCGTTCAAATGCATCTATGTACTCCTTGTACGACTTATGAGGGTCATTCCAGTCAGGGTTTTTCCTCTTCTTGCGTCGGTATTCAGACAGTTTCCAGGCAGACAGACCATGAAAGTACTCCTGGTCTTTGATTTCTTTGTCATCTGTCAGAAGACCATTCTTTACTAGCTGTTCAAATACGCGTCGTTTTTTATTGTCTTGAACACTTTCGTAATCGTCATCTTCATCATCTTCTTCCTCCTCTTCGTCTGAACTGTCTTCCTCCTGTGGTTCGATTTTACTTACGACAAAGAAGATATCCAAATCACTTTTTCTTTCGTTTATTTCGTCCAAGACGGATTTGTCCTATCCAAATTAAAAACAAAACTTGACTTATCTGATGTTATTAATATTGATTTTATCGGTTTGTTACCTAAGTAGTGGGCTCATGAAATAATCAACTGCAATTACAGTCAAACTACGTTAAGCGTGAACATGTAATTATCATTAATGAATTTATTCTTAGATTCAAATATTCATATTATAACAAAATCGAATAGAATAAATAAAAATAACCCACATGGGTGATAGCTGCACATTTTCAAAATTTTGAAAAGTTCACTAATAAACTCAATAATGAATATTTAAATCAAAGAATCAAATCAATAATGGATAATGAAATAATTGTTCTCGCTTCAGGTAGTTTAACTGMAAACTGCAAACTGCAAACAAATCACAACAAAGAAAATACAAAGACGAAAGAAAACGAACAAACCAAAAAATAAAGAGAGCAAAAAAAAAGGAAGAAAACAACACTAAYAAACCTTAACAGTTATATTATATAAAACAAAATAAAACAGAGAAATCAAACAATTGGGCTTTGTTACACACCCCCTCCCTTTCCTACCCCCCTCCATATCTCGTTGATCACATTGATCAAACGTCATCATTTAATTAATAATTACTTACCAGGGCTGTAAACAAGTTATGACCATCAATAACATATACTATAAACGGTAAAATATTCTTGAGTTGCACTCTAACTAATTCATCGAGTGCTTCGTTTTCGTCACGGCCAGGAGAATCAATTATATCAACACCCGACTTCAGGAATGGAATGTCGAAGCCTGCTTCAATCTTAGCCGTGACACGGTTTTCACTTGCTCGATCTCCTTCTCTTAGCTCGATCATTTCCCTCGGTATCTTCTTGTCGTTTGGTTTGAATTCCTCTATTGTCTTGCCCCTTCTGTCGACAAGACGAACGTAGTCTTCTTTGGAATATGTCAGCTTTACAATCCGGGATGTACACGGCTGGTCTGATGTCGAGACGATCCGACTACGTAAAATCTCATTAATTATCGAGCTTTTGCCACTGTTGGTTTGCCCAACCACTATAAGTGCAGGGCTCTGAGCGAATAATGCAGATACTTCTTCCTGTTCCTCTTTGGTGTAGAGGATGTCAGAGAGTGATGATGTTAGTGTGGTAGCATCCGTACCTTCTAGCTCGACTAGAATCATACTTGCATCTACTGACCCTTGTTTGGCCATGGTCATTTCTGTGACTATTTCATGAGCTAGTTCCTTGCCAAGTTTGTGTGAACCTAGTGCTTTCTCAATGTTTTGAAAGCAAACGAGTGTGTCCTTGTGAATTTGCTCCATTGCATTTTTATTTCGTCTGAACTCGTCGAAGGAAGCACGCAGCTGTAGATCCATGTTATCCATGTTCGGATTGAGCTCTTCGCTTAGCTGCTTGTGTAACTGTGATGTATGTTGATGCTGGGTGTTGTCCCCTAGTGTCTGTCTCTATACTCTTCCACACTTTCGGGAAAAAACCCTGTTACTAAGAATAGGCGGAAGTTGTCAGTTCCGACACATCACATGATCCCAGCGTGACATGCATGTAACGACAGCAATGCATTATTTTCTACTGGTGATAAGACTATATATATGTTGAAAAAGATATGCAGAGACATCTAATTAAGTTTTAACATCGTTATAATTCCTTTGGAAACGAAGGGTTTAGAGTGAAACGTTCACCATTTGGTAATACAAACTACTTGCGTGACAGACAGGAGTCCTTAGTCCAGTTCCTAACTTTCTTTCCAGTCTTATGACAGCGATAGAGTCTGGATGAGGGGTTCCAAGAATCGAGCTTTGTTTGTAAGAAATAGCTTCGTCCATTTTACACATTGCCATCTTGTTTGAATCTATTCTCCAACACGTAAGTTGATTGTATTTTTGTTGTGCTTTGATGTCGATACCTTAGTCTATTTCGAGTCGTTCTGTACAGTTTCATGTTTCCTCATGGTCATGACTTCGGTTAATAACTAAATTGTCTCTACTTTCGCTTGTTATTACCTTGCTAGAAATAACTGGAGCTCTATCTTCACTAGTTATAACACTACTTACCTTCTGATAACGTAGTATATTACAATTTCTGCATTTAATTCAACTGAATTGTATTGAATTATATATATATATACTCAGGGACAGACCATTGGAAAAATCCGGATTGAAGGGGGGGGGGGGGGGAATGGTTTTTGGGAAAATTTTTTTTTTTTTTTTTTTTTGGAGAGGCTAATTGTTTTCAGAATTTTTCTTCAATGATCTRCAATATGTATTATATATATTTTTGGATCTGATCGGAAATTGTATTTCTTTTCGAGTTAATTTTCTGTGCAGGTTTTTTTTTTGTATATGTCGCCCCCATCCGGGTTTTTCTATAAATAGTGGACTCGTTTCTTCATCCTGTATACCGTAGATAAATCAAAGTGTTTTTAGTATATTAAAAGTGTGCAACTACTGAAATAAGGATCATAAACTAGTAACAGGGCAAAAAGAACTTGTTATAGCAAGCTCAAACAATTTTACTGTGCTRCCAACACAGAGATTAAATTCTATTGAATTTTCAAAACCATTGTGGGATGATGGGAATCAGTTCCATGGGGACAGGGTTTTGAGCTACAGATGAACACAGCTGTTCATATAACAACTGAAAAATGCACTCACTTAAGACGATTTTCTCTCACAATCGACAGGTATGGAACCAAATAAGTCGGAAGGYGCGCAAACTTCAGAGAGAGGTTTTCACGAGGAATTTCGTGATCTCACCCGTTACATTGAATTCTTCAAAGACTGCTACGAGAAGTCCAGCAACTTAATTTCACAAATTGAAAGTGTGTTCAGAAATGATTTGAACCAGACTGGCCCTAGCGCAGGGTTTATCACAAAAGAAGAAAAGGCTCAGCTTGAAGACTTTATAACCAAACGAGCATCAGTGTTAGTAGTTGGTCAGACAAACTCAGGCAAAAGTTCCTTGATTAACGAACTATTAGGTTCCTCCTACCTTCCGACTTCAGAGGTCCCTTGTACATCGCGCATTGTACGCATTCGTTACAGCGAGAAGAATTTTTTACAAGTGAAAGATTGGACGGGTGAAACTAAGATTCAAGCGACTGAATTTAAAAAGAATATTCCTAAGGCTGAAATTGCCCTTGAGGATGACAGCAAACGAGGTAAACAAGCATAATCCATCCAACATATATAATATATATATCCAACCAACCAACCAACCCACAAATCATCAAGCCAACTAATTAGCCAGTTAACCACTATCCAACCAACCCACCTAACTTACCGTCTATCAACAAATGCAACCAAGCAATCAATCTATTAAACCTACCTAGCAACTAACTGGACAATAAACTGTCCAGCAAACAACAAACCTACTACAGTCGAACATGGTATGATCACCTTGACAAGGTGACATCTTAATAGAAGCTGGCCGTTTAACAGAGGTCACGTTTCACAGTAATTATGTATGAGAATCGACCTTTGGGGAATTCATGAGTGACCGCTTAATGCCAGGGCTTTTTAATAGAGTTTCCAACTAACCACTAACCAAGCAACAAGCATGCGACTCCAATATCTACGTTACACAACTAATATAACCGCGCGTCTAAGAAAATAAAATGCATTCTTCATTTACACAATGGCAAACCTTTGTATCTTCGGATTCTTGACTGATTCGCAATAAGCAACGAGATATTAACCAGCGGTGTGTTTTTAAAGGAGTGCTTAATCACGTGACCTTGTTTTGTAGGTGACAAGAAATGGGCACGTTGCATCGTTGAGGTTGGATTAAACAACCCTCTTCTTCAAGGAGGGCACCTGGAGTTTATTGATGCTCCTGGTATGAGTGAAAATGAAGTACTTGATTCAGTAGTGAACGAATGTGTACATGGGATACTGCAGATATTGATTTATGTTATTGATGGAAATTCTTCGCTTAGGACTCAGGTAAAAGACACCGCTAGAATTAAGAACAGAGTTGGAAAAGTTATTATAAACTGAATTTCTTGAGTATCGATCAACATCAGCTAAAGAAGACTGCTAATAGGTTCTGTTTCATGTGTGATCAAACTATTCTAATTTGATTTGAATATGAGTGTTTTCGTTTTCAATAGGATCGTGAATTTCTKTACAACCTTAAACAGAAAATAGGAGGAATTCCTATATTCTTTGTCTGCAACAAAGTGGATTTCGACGAGCGGGCTGCCGAGTTTGACAGGGATGATGATGAAGATGAAAGCTATCTGAACCTAGAAAACCAAATGAAAATAATCAACGAGAAGAAAACTCGTAGCTATTCTGCTTTAGTTCGCAGCCATATTATCGAAAGAGAACTCGATGAAGTCGAAAGCTGCGATTTCTTTCATGGCGTGTCCACAARAGAAGTGAAGAAAGCAAGAAGGAAGAAAACCTCAGATGTACTTCAAGTGCACTCTGATGCTTTYGAGAGGATGAAGCAATGCTTCCTTACGTTTGCTTCTGAGAGTGTAATCAGACATGTGAGCAAGGTTGCAAGATTGTTGGGAGCGATACAACAGCGCATTTTCGACTTYTACATCAGCCGGCAGCGTAACAACTTAAAAATGCATGAAATTCACACAGTCATACTTAGACTCGAAAATATAGAGACAAACTGTTTTGAAAATATGCAAAGATATGTGCTTGAAAACTGCGAGAAAATTGAACGGATTCTTGCAAACGCCATCAGTGACAAGGAAGACGAAATCCTTGTTGCAGCCGAGGACATGGAATTTGCGCCCATTCCCATCGCTGATGTTGTACATCGTAACGAGATCATCAACCAGTATAAAGGGCAAATACGAAAAATGGTCCTTATAGCCGCATTGAACATATCTTTAAAAGCGGTTACCCAAACGGTACGTATTGTGTCATCCAACGTAAGGGAACAACTTCATCGATCTTTAAGAGACGCATCCAAAAAGGCCGGTCTTACAGGAAAACTTGTGCAACAGCTGTTAAAACACGCCGATGTTTTAACGACCGGTTATTGTGTCAGCGACCTGATTAACATGGCTGTTGTCAAAGACTATTCTTTGATGAACCTGGTCTACAAAACACTTGATCCTCCAAAAACCTTCATCGCAGATGTTATGTCTGTCTTCAAGGTAAACAACRAAGATTTGCTGTCACTTGTCACTTTAATACTGAGCGTTTTTCAACTAATTATCAAGATATTTTTATCAATTGTGATATTTTTGATACTTTTTTAAGGGAACCACAGTTGACAAGCCATGGAAACGCAAGATTGCTAAGAATGTTTTAGATAATGTTGATCGCAGTAAATTAAGAGATCGAATCATCGGTGCGCTACTCGATATCTTGCACACCAGCCATCAGTCATTCAAAACCAACTTGAGATGTATTGAAGAGCTCTCTAAAAAAGCGCAAAGTCAAACCGAGCAACAGGAGGAAACAGTCAGTGAGTATGGGCCAGCTTTTGCTAGAGTTATGTGCCATAATGATGCACTCTTAAACACTCTGGAAAATCCCTGCTTCCGACTTGGAGACCAGATCGGCCGAATCGGAAAGCGAAGTACGGTGTATGCTTGCTACAGCTCTAGAGGACGGTTCAGTGAGATGAAACTTGTAGCAAATCAGCCTCATGAACATGCGTCCAACTTGGTGGACTATGCAATTCAACACGCACTGAAGAGGTTGGTGTGATTCATTTGCCATGATCATTTCAGTTACACAATTAGTTTTATATCTCAAAATGAAAGACATCGCCCTTGAGCAAACGCGCCTTCCGCACTAACAATTCCTTAATTTACTTTCAGACTTGAYGAAAAACACTCAAATGTYATGTCTCCTGTGTCAATAGTGTTGATCGACAATCATATGACACTTCTATTACCAAGACTACAGACTGACCTGTACACCGCCTTGACGGAAACCTCAMWCAAAGCAATATCCACATTGGCAAGGTTGACGATCTTCAAAGGAATGGTAGACGCTTGTAGATTCTGCAGGGAGAAAGGTCTCCAGTTTATCGACCCAAGGATTACAAATGTCATGGTGAATATTTTTTTAAATAGAGCAATAACACCTATTTACACAGTGCCTTCTTTTTTGTCTGAATAGAAAACACTTTTTGATCCTTTATGATTGCAAATAGTCACACAAAAAAATTCCATCATAATGTTTATTATATTTTATTAATTGTAGCTAGATGAACGTCATCAAGCTTTCTTGAACATTTGTAAACCACGTGACGACAGCATCTGTTACCCAGACGACCTTGCTCCMTTCCACGTATCTGCCGCACCACCACCTCTCATCCATACTTCKGAAACGGTGCTGCAATTTGCCCTTCAGCACGATGTATACGCCCTAGGAATCATGGGATGGCTGCTCGCTTTAGGGGAGTACAAAAGACCCGCCTACGCTAACACYGCCGACGTGACTGAGATTTACAARGCRGCAGGTCGAAAAGCCTTCCCAGAMATGGATCTAATCCCACCCGAACTCGATAAGGAAGGTTTTGGCGATCTCATTTCCGACTGTCTCGGAGAAGCATGTTCCATATGGATGTTGCAAGAGAAACTCTTAGAAATCATGACAAATCATGAGAAAGATGGTGAATCAGAAATTTTAGATACCTATGTATAGATTAATTGTTTAATTGTCCCAAAACTAGAACTTTGATAGACATTTATTCTTGTATGGACTGGAACCAGTAAGGTAAAACATCWCGAGAATCTTAGTGCACTAGGTATTTACTTTATATCTTTGTGACTTAAACCCTTGTACTACAAGTGACATAGATTAGAAAGGAAAATATTTGAAATTGTTAAAACCTGCCTCTTATTAAAGCGAAGACCGTTGTATCKCGACCTAGGAATTTTGAAGTTCGTTTGCTGAAATTTGGGGTTTTCTGCGACTAAATGATGGTACATGATGATGATACATTTTAACAATAGATAATGTTCCATTCAGACAAAATAAAGTTGTTTTGTAGATCGAACCCTCGCCACAAGTAGGTGAAGCWAAGCCCAAAATCCAAGCAAGCTTCAAATGCTTTGAGACACCCTACATTAAATACTTCGGTTTCCAGATCTCTGCGGTGTATACAGCCATTGTAATTATTTCTTTTCACATATGAATCCTTGCATGAATAAAGGTAGTTGTGTCATGATTTATGGTTGAATGTTGAACTGAAAAGCACTACTTATGGTTCTTTCTGTGCGTTTTTTTGTATGCACGCACAGTTAAAGGTCGAGGCAGATTGTATTGTGTGGTTGTAAGTGGTATTGCTATATTTTCTTTTAGATATAACTGTAGAATACACGAAAGAAAACATGAATTGCTAGAAATAAATCAGGGAATGTTTTGCTTCACAACGTGACTTCCTATAGGRGAAGGTAAAGAAAATGCTAGTTCGTAGTTTGAACAACTTGATTCTATGGCAATTAAAGAATCATAATGATTTATAAACAAAATTCCTGATCCAYAAGATCCACAGTCCATCATACTATTCCTGTTTTTTCACTTTCATCAGACTGAGTTCTCGGAAGCGTGTAATTCAGCGTCTCGTGATAGGGAAATTCCCTGGCGACACTGACAAATTAACATTATTTTAGCTTGCTGCAGTAACAGTGCTTAAGTATGAAAAGAAGTGAATGATGGCCACCGCTTCGATCCAGTCGTTRCAGACTGCTGTGACGAACTACGAAGTYCACATCAAACAGATCTCTGAGCTTCACCAACAAACGCAACAATGTCTGGACGAGATTCAAGATCTCATCAATGTAGAGGAACAGACTCCCTTTCATTTGCAGAATTTGCCTCAGTTCGACTTTGCGAAACGGCTACCTTGTGTGCTTTTCATTGGTAGTCAAAATTGTGGTAAAAGTACTTTACTGAATGTATTCCTTGAGAGAGCAAAACTACTTCCAGTTCACGARACACCCTGTACGTGTCGAATAGTACGTGTTCTTTACAGCAAGACAAACTATGCAAGGGTTATAGATACAGATAGAAATGAGCTGGACTGGAAAGAATTCAGAAAGAACGTCCCGAGGAAGTTTGTCGTCCTAAGAGATGCACAGCGTGAAGAAGGAACTCATCTTCAATGTATCGTAGAAGTTGGACTGAACCATCCTTTGTTGGAGTGTGGAATCGAGTTGATTGATTCACCAGGTCGYAATGAGAATGCAGCACTTGATCATGTTGTAGAAGAGTTTGTAGAGAAGGGAGTTGTGCCTCTTATTGTCTATGTTATAGATGGGAACAGTCATATTCGAAAAAAGGTAAGATGCTGACTAGATGAGGAAGTCACCAACTGCACTATAATCCGCGAGAAACTTAATTGGTAACTAATATATATAGGTAGTGTTGGTGACCACGTCCCTGGGCTGACCGGGGGAGGGACAGGCAATGGAAAATTTCATCTCSACAAGAAATTTTTAGTTGCGAATTGTTGGACGTTTTTTCCCCTCCTCGATACTGTTTTTAAAARATATTTTCCCCTTCTTTGGATTCATTTAATTTAGGTTCTCCTTTTTAATGGATAGGTCATAATTTCTATATTCCATTTGTGCTACACAAWTGTCATGAAAAAAAATTAAATTGTCTTTGTTTTAGTTTTTTATGAGCACTGTTCTTCTGAAAGTTGAGCATTGTAAAATGATGAAGGTGAAACTCCAAAGGAACGAGTGATGAAAGGAAGGGATAAGAAATCGATGAATGAACAAAAGGTAGAACGAATGGGCGAACTGAAGTATGAAATATGGATAGCGTATAGGGRGATGGGGTTTCGAAAGAGTGGAATTGRAGGTGCGATCGAAGAAACGAAAGGAAGAGGAGTGAATGTATYTCAGAAGGGGGAAGTGGTTCTGTGTCGTGGCCATAGATTTTCTTTTTCTTAAMATTTTGWTTGATATACTGTGTTCAATAATATGTTTTATCATGCAGGATCGCGAAACTATTCGTGATTTACAAGACAAGTTTCCCAATGTGTCCCAGGTATTTGTTTGCAGTAAAGTAGACAAAGTCAAAAACGCTGATTTAAATGACAATAAAGATGAACAAGACGTCGACGAAGACATGACAGACTACAAGGACCCAAGTCAAGAATTAATTGAGCTTGCCATGGAAAAAAAGAAAGAAGTCTTTCGTCAGCTCAAAGAGGCATCTTTCTTAGGTTCAGAAGACGACTTAGATTCCTCGCTTAATTTTCATGGAGTTTCTGCGAGAAATGTGGAGAGAGCTCGCAGGAAATGTAGACAGAAYCACGACACTCGGTGCTTTGATCGCTTTCAGTGCGCAATTTTGCAAAAACTAGAGAATGCCCTCAAGAAAGACAGCAAAAAAGCACTGAACAATTTGTTATCRGCGCAAGAAATGATTTTACTCTCGGCTGTAAATACGAGAAAATCTCTTTCTCATACAGCTAACGTAATTCCAACGGTATGTGACCAAGCTCTGAAGACAGAGCTGTCAATTTTTCAAACAACTTTGCAATTAAGTTTCAAAAGCCTCGAGATTAAGGAAACAATTCGTCGCAATTTGGAGCAGTTATCTGCAGATTTTATGGATGAAGGTGAGCACTATCAACTTGCAGACAAAGGAACTGTGATGAAAGAATATAAAACAATCACGGAAAGCGCTAAGATTGACCCAGAATTGTTAAAGCAAGTCCGTGTCGAAGAATTACTAGTARTGGAGTTCACCRGCTTCATCAAAGGAGCTATACTTGACAAAACTTTCAATGTGTTGAAGGTTACCATCCATGGTGTATTACGAGAGGGACTCTCTCAAGCAGTCGGAGAGTTGATTAAACTTACGCAATCTGTAAGGAATCCTCTGATTGGACGACTTGTCAAAAGGATTTTTGGTGCTTCATCAGAATCTCAAGAAGACGTTAATAGCTTCCTTAAACTGCACATGATCCTGGACGGCTTGCTAGACTCGGTAGACGGGGCTGTTAATTCAACACTTCGACGAGAAATCTCAGGACCTCTCAGTGAGTTCAGTGTGAGTGATGTAGGAAATAACCCAAGGCCCCGGGACATGCACTGGCGACGAAAAGTCGTACAGACATTATTGTCGAAGCTGGAYTATGGCCATGTTGCAGACAGAGTGATCSAAACTTGCGACGAGTCGCTTCTCAAGCTACATAAGCTCTTCCGTGAGACCGTAGAAAGCTATCGTGCTCTCAATACAATCCTAGAGAGTGATAAACTGACATTGACAGTCGAAAAGCTGCGATCAAATTATGTACCACGAGTGGCCGAGTTAGCAGTCAGAGGACATGCTATTCGGTACGCTATCGAGCGTGGACCACCTATACTCGGAGAGCACATTCAATCAACTGCGCATGGTCGCATCCTGTCGTGTTCCAGTCGGCAATGGTTCTGTGGCAAGGACGAAGCTGTAGTTAAAGTTTTTACGAAGTCAGAAGTTGGTCCAGACGTCTGGCATCAAACCATGATAGATTGCTTGCATTCATTGTAAGTCAATAGAAATAATAATTTGACCAGCTTCGGAATGAACCTAACGCTCTTAGAGCGCTTATTCGGAGGGATACGTACATAATGCCGACGCAACTTACAGACTGAAATATTGACGAAAACCAAACTTACAGAAGCCATGAGTACAAATCAAGGATCAGTCAAGGTCTAAGCCTTAGGTTTTCTATGGCTATCTTTTCCGAACAATAGAAGMGGAAAACAGCACACTGGCTAAACGTTTATGAGCCAGCCTCCTTTGCAGCCTTTCGTTTTGACTCGGGCAGCCCAACAAAAGGACAGGCTGCGAGGAAGTCTAGTATTAAAGAAGCTGAAGTCTGTTTTTTTCAATCTCTTTGTTCTTCGGAAATTTGTTTCGGATACCTATACGAAATTATGACAAAAATATATTTTTCGTTTGTTATTAGGGATGTCAATGAAAAGCTTGGCCGATGCTGCRCCAATCATCTACAGCTATTTGGATGGTATTTTCCAGATCCTGACCAATTCTACATTGTGATGGAGAAAGCACAATGCGACTTGTTAACGGCGTTGARAGGAGGGCTTTCCTGGGAAAGACGGAAGATAGTGGCCGTGGATGTAGCAAAAGGATTGGAAGCGTTGCATGATGTAGAATATGTGTATCAAGATCTCAAGCCTCAGAATGTCATGGTATGTTGTACTTGTGATTATAGTAAGATTAAATAACTCCAACAACAATAAAATGCAATCATTGATGACAACAACTATAGCTAACTACCAACAGCGATAAAAAMGATGTCRAATACATAGAAATGCGGAGCAATTGACAAAAGCAAACAGAATAACTAAATATATATAAATATTTKTTTTTAGCTAACTGCCGATGGAACGGCTAAACTTAACCTCGCTAAACCCGAAAAGCCATTTGAAAAAACACAGTTAGGATTGCCCTTCCACATTTCACCGGACATGTACAAAGACCATSGCAAAGACCGCTCCAAGARCACTTTTGACATCTACGCCTTTGGTTCGTTGTTGTGGGTATTGTGTGAGGGGTCTGGAACTAATCAACCCAAGGTCTACTCGCACTGTCAAGACAAAGAAGCCATCAAGTTCGCAATATGTGACAATGGAATCAAACCCGAACGGCCGYCTGGAACCCCGAATGCATGGTGGGATTTGATGAGTGCTTGTTGGGCCCTTAAGTTCAACATCAAAAGTTTACTTGAGAAGCTACGCAACCTTGACACACCTAACTAATGTGTAATTGTATCGTACAATACATAATTACTTTTCAAAGATTTTTACTGATGGTTGAGCTGCCTGTGCCAACCAAAGACGATCKCGTGAACGAGAGAATAGGTTGGGTGGCTGACATGTGTGTAGTAACAGTGTCGCTTTTGACTATTCATATCGTCTTCTGTGTTAAAGCATCAAAAATCTCGTTTGAAATTAATATTTCAGTCTGAAGTTGATTACAGCATTTGTAAGATATACAAGACATAAAACCAATGCTCATTTTGATTGTTGAATAATTTAATAGAACCAACTTAGATGTGTTTGAAATGATAACTATGTATAAATGGCATGCAATCTATGATTCTACTAACGATTTCCATGACATGAAAGGTATTATGTATATATATATATAATATATGTATCAAGAATATTGTACAAGGAAACAAAATTGTAGAATCTTCTGTAAACTACATTGGTAATGATCGACTGATGAAACACATTGCTCTTTCCTTGGCAAGAAATCTAGTCTTCTTTTATAAATCACAGGAAGCCCAATCTAGTTGTGGGGTGTGKGGGAAAGATTAGCTAAAAAAACATCAATTCAGACTGAAATCACTACCAGAGATCTCAACAAAATTTCAATAAACAACCAATGAAAGGTAGAATATATTTTCTTTATTTTTCACCAAGATACAGATAATAGAAWTGTTACCCTTGATTTTAGAGATCGGGCTTCCTGTTGATAAATTTGAAGAAAAAATACTAAATATAATCGACAAGGCCAAGTTGGACTGAAAACTACTGTAACCTTAAGGAAATATAAATCTGTACGTAAATATAGAAGCAGATTAATGATATACACAAACAATGAATGCATTTTTGGTTTGGTAAGCCTATATGGGGTGACTTTCATAACATTTAAAAGGAATTCTCAATGTTAAGATAAAAACACTCATTGMTGTGGATACTTTATGGTTTGTAATTTCTCAATTATTGTTCTAAAATAAGAATACCTCCCCCCATCATCCATGGAAGTTATCTACAACATATCCTATAAATGATCCTAGCCAACTTGACAATTCACGCCAATGCACAATGCAGATGAGGCGACAATGAAAAACATCTAAACCATGCTGAGAATGCAGTATCTCTATGCCAGAATAAGAAGAAAAAGTACTTGTGGCATATGATTCATYTCAAATGAGAGAAATGACTTTAGTTCTGTTTTATAGTGATGCAATAGCCACAAAGCAATGCTATCCCCATGTGTGTGCATGCATGAAAGTTCACTGACTTTTTCAGTTTTGTTTTTTGTTTTTTTTTTGTGGTGAAGTTTTAGCCTCCAAGTGAAGATTAGTTCCCATTTGGCTGAATTGATGGCAAATGATCGAGCTTACTTTGCTTCATTTTATCTTTCTCTTTCAATTTGTCTGCAATGAAAAAAGAGATATTTAATATAATATATGTAAAATAAAATCTACAGAATACGTCCATAAAATGAAAGAATTCAAATATCTCAAGTCAGTTCAGAGAACTACTAGTTAAGAGAACTAGTGAATATCAAAGAAATTCATACCTAGTTTGTCTGGAGCAGGTGATAAACACTCTGGTGCAACAGCCAACTGCGGCAAATGTCTTGACATTTGTTGCTGGTCTGGTTCAAATTGRGGAGGTAACCGTGAACGAGCCTGAACAGAGAGCAAAAAAACRTCTCACTTGTTTTGTTCTAAAATTCTTTATCTCTTGTGACTWCAACATTTTGTGTCATTGGAATCTTTTTTAATTAAGTTCAATATTTTCATAGAGGATACACAATATTACACTATCAAACAATGAATGTTTCAATTTCCTTGAGTTCTCACCTTTGTTTTCTTTGGTTTCTGTAAGAATTGTGGGTGYTGACATTTTGCTATCAAAGAATTGAGTTCTGGTACTATTTGCTCTCGGAATCCATCAAAATATGAATGATCAAGAAGCTCTGAACATGTTAGTCTGTTACTTGGTTCCAAAACTAAACATCCCTGCAATAGATGAAAAAAAGAGGAGTGAAAGGAGGAAAGAGAAGCAAGATGGAAAAGAAGTTGCACGCTCTCATGAAAACCCACAGTGATATAAAGTACTTTATACATTTTCTCTGTAAAATAAGCAGATTTGAAAMCATTACAGTATGGGTTTTCCTTGGAACTTACTTGGGTTCAACACAGCTTCTCGGTGAAGCATATTCTTTAGAATTTCAGACATTAGGTTAAAGAATAGGTGGGCCATTTTTGCAAACTGACAAAAAATACATACCTTTAGAAAACTTAGTGCTTGAGGTGAGAAGTTGGGATACTTCACTTCCAGTGGTTCCTATAAATTCAAAAATACAATAATAATAAAATTAATAAATACAAATAATAATAAATAATAATAATAATTGTATGATACTATTGTTCAATGACTACAGCATTTACTTTTCTAAAGTTATGCTGTAATACAACAAGGAGTACTTACTCTACTTGTAGGCTGTGGAATTTGTAATCCTCTAAAGAACTGATTAGCACTAAAAACCTGCATATGTCGTGGAATGAGATCACCTACAATAAAGGAAACAGTATTTAACAAATATATTTTCTATAACCAGTAAACAGGTTGTCAAAGTCGTGTCACAATAAGTCTTATGTTACCCTGGCAACCATGATCTTAAAGGATGATTATTCTGCACCAGCAAGAGAACAAAACTATGAAAACCTATGGGAACGTTTGCATTAACATAGCATTAAGCGTAAGCATCAACATACGGTTTTCTTGGGCTTATCCCTTTTCTAATGTCATGCGATGTTTCAAGCATATTCTGTTTTGTGTTTATGTGAAAACAAGTTTATGATCATGCTTAWTGCTATCCTAATGATTACTGAAAACCATAGCAGCCTTAACCAGCTTAATAATGATATAGGGCAATTTAGACCAGACAATGCACATCACTTGTTCTYAAAATTTTAAAGTCCTTACCTAACGTCTTTTTGATCAAGTATAGCTGATCAACATCTGATCTTCCTGGCCATAATGGTTGACCACTTAGCAGCTCAGCAAACACACACCCAACTGCCCAGACATCAACTGGAAAACCATACTGTGTATCACCAACTAAAAGCTCTGGTGCGCGATACCAACGAGTAGCCACRTAATCTGTGTATTCATCACCAGGAGCTAAAAGAAAACATGGTATATGTAGCATTAAGTTTACAGTCCTCTTTGTGGCGAGCACATCTATTTATGAACTGCATTTCACTGTTCATAACCAGACTTACAAAGTAATCGCGCAAATCCAAAATCACAGAGTTTAATGATTCCTTCTCTGGTAATTAATATATTTTCAGGTTTGACATCTCTGTGGATACACTGAAAAACAAATCCATTGATATATCATTAGAACGTCTAAAGAAATGTCTGTAGAAATACATTGTACAAAGTATCATTTAGTACCAAAAACACTAAAAGCACAGCAGGAATAATTAATAAAATTATCAATCACAAAATACAATAGCAMACTTTTTAAGTCTTTGATGCTTCTTGACATATCAAATTTATATTCTAGACCCCAAGGAGAATTAATAATACATGTATACAATGAGAATATTTCATATGCTTTTAAAAATACAATTATGGCACTTTGACAACAAAGACATATCTTTGACAACATGTTAATAGACCTGCAGATCTGTTTAGACAATGCAACCTACATTGTTTTGGTGGCAGAAATGAACAGCTTGGAGTGTTTGCCAGATGATTTTCTTCACTGTTGTTTCCTCCACACTAAATAACAAAGGAAACTAAAACATCAGTCTTGGAAAAAAATTCTTTTAACTTTGAATTTTGTCAATGGGAATTTGCCAAAACAAAATTAAGGGAACCACATGTCAATAAAAAAGTCAATAACACAAAGTGCTTTAATTTCTATTTGAATTTTGTCCATATGTTGTAAACTCACCCTTTTGGATGACTATCCAACTCATTCAACACAGTTTGATCACAATATTCAAATACTAAATGCAACTTTCGTTTTCTTCTGAAGACTTCTAGAAGATTCACCAGGTTACCATTTTTTAATTGCTGAAAAGAACGCAAAATATATACTTGTATTTCACAATTAATATTCATTGCTAAATTTTGAAACATCAAACCAGGCAGCCAAAACTACATTAGTATAGCTGCTGCTATCTCTTCACAATAAAATTGGTTTTACTTAAATGTAATTGTGGCATGTGTTTGGTATACATGTATGAATCAGTTGCGTTTGACACAACACTATTGCAGCTCATATTCGTGGCAACAGCACCACACAGAATCAAATATTGAGCTGTTGTATAGCGGAACTTAATCCWGTAATAAATACGAAATGTATATGAAAAAAAATTCTAATGACTGTATGTGACTTATGAATTCTTACGGCACAAGGCACAGCATATTTGTTTTGGCTAGACTGTATTAAATTTGGGTCTGCACAAATGGACTGGACTACAGTGTGGCATATGGCTAATTAACAGGACCTAGCAATGCCTTAATGTAAAATTTTTCATCAAGCTGTGTTTAAAAATGAATGGCTTTGTCACAGCCGCCTTGGTACTGTATGCATATTTTTCACATGGCACTATAATTTTTGTGATCTATAGGATATAATATAGATGTTGATGTTACAAATTGTGAAATATTGCCATAACTGTATTAGTTCCCGATTAATTCTATAGTTAAAACTTCAAACTCGAAATTCATGTATTATTAACATCAATCACRAATGGTAATGACAAAGAAATATTATAAAAACATTTTATACGTGATCACGAATGACAATACATTGTTCACAGATACAGGATTATCAAAGAATTATGTGTGGACATATGACTCTAATGAGCATACTTCTTTGTAAAAACCATATCATACATTTACAAAATGTTCAAAGAAAGCAGGCTTAGTGTCAAGTGATTGAGAAATGTTTTTAASACAGCAATAAGGGGGCTTCTTGTCGTAGAAACGTGCAAACATATGCTTAGCAACGGAATCAACTTTAACATTTGATACATTCTATACTCAAGATATAAACTTATATGATATTTCCCAATACCCTACATTTTCTTAACTTTGCATTGATTTACAGGCTCTTAGAGAAACAATCAACTCTCTTAGCTCAAGGAGACAAACCAACTTAAACCAATAAGCTCACTTTGACTGACACTACAATGCTAATTCAAGTTAGTTTGTATTGCAGAAAAAACAACGMTCGAATTGTAAAATTGTTTCACGATACGAAGAAGACAAGAAGAGAATTTAGAAATGATAGCCTAAACAAATATAAATCTGACTTTTATCAGTTTTGTTGAAAATTCAGGATGATACATTTTAAAACAAACACGGCAGATAAGCTAAAAAGAGTGCGATAAATATGACATGTTGAATTCAATCGGGGTTTGTTGAAAAGTTSGCGTCSTCCTTCCTACCTTCAACAGACGAACTTCTCTCATTGCAATTTTTCTTATGAGTGGATCATCTTCCGACTCAACGAATTTTTTAATGGCCACAATCTGTCCTGTTTCTCTGTGCCGACATTTGAAAACAACTCCATAGGAACCTTCGCCTATCTTTCCAAGCTTTTCGTATTTCTCCATTTTCTTGAGATCTACTCTATTTTATCAAGCATGATTTATTCCTAAAACATATTAAAGAAAGCATAACATGAGATAAAGTGCGTTAAAGGAAACATAGGTCGTTCCGGATAGGAATTCTGCTAAAGATTCTCAAAGTTCTTCATGGATGTGAGTGAGCTGGTATGACTTTCAACGTTCAAAGAAGGGATATCCAGAAGAGCCCAAGAAAGACTAACCTTGTGTCTTTTGCCCACTCATTGTCCTTCTCGAAAACCGAGGTTTGGGTTGACAGCTTTTGCGTGCTTTGAGTGTTATTATAACATTGATAAATGATGAAAATCCCAATCACAAATAGTTCAACAACGATCAAATATTCTGTAGTTTCGGGGTATTATCGATTCGCCATGACGTTCTCAACATCAACTCCTTATTTGGAGTTTCCATGACAGCACGATTTCCCGCGGGAAAATCGAGATTTATTCCGGGCCCAAACAACAGGAGTCCCGCGAATTTGATTTAAAAAAGAAATAGCTTGTACAGATTTCACTTTTGAACAAGATTTATTTTGCCATTTGGCTTTTGGTTTGATTTATGTATTTTAGTGTGGATAGTTGCTATGCCGTATTCATAGCCAAAATCCAAGGAGTAGTTTGGCGCAGCAAATCTTGTTTTAAAAGTGAACCTTCCTTTTTAGCCATTACTTCATTTATTCTATAGAGATTTTGTGTGGATTTTATTTGCTTGATAATGCCTTAGTCAATTACCACTAAGTTACCATTAAGTAACTAGATAGTGTTATTCAGCGCTACTAGAACCAGTCACAGTCAATGGTGGTGGTATTTGTTACAAATCTTATTCCTATATAATTCCCTATATGTATAGACTGTACAAATAGTGTCATTATAACTATAAAAGGTTTTCTTTTACTAGAGTTCATTATCTATATTTTCTTGCAAGCTGTAGTTTTGTCACAGAGTGATTACAGTAGTATGTACATGCATAAGTTATATAAAATCCTAAATTAATTAACATTATTTTTTCTTTGGAGGCTCTTTCTTTGGAATAAAGATAGGTGTTACTTTGGAAGGCTTATGTTTGGAGTATGGTGAGGCAGGATGCCCTACTATTAATATATGATTTCCTTTCAACCATAACCGCCACATGCTCTTATGAAAACCCCTAACATCAAGGTCCCATATATGGAAGCACTTTGATATGCTATTCCATGTAGTCCAATCAGTTGGATGGTCCATTTTAATATAAAATACATAAGTTTTTTTCTTAGTATCTGGTATAAAGTCTGTGTTGGCGCATGGTGTCTTGGTGTGATCTAGTACTTCTGCAGTGCTGAAATCACAAAGCATTACCTTTATTTAATTTGTGCATTTTAATTGACATGTAGCCATGGCGAGTAGAAGGAAAAGATCAACAGTCAACACTACTAGTCTACACTACTAGTTACCAACATATTGATTTGAATATATAAATATCAAAGTAATACTCACTTGAGCAATCTTTCCATCTCATTTTCATAATTTTGTTTCGTCATCATTTGCACATTCAGTTTAACATTGGGTTCAGTGTTCAAAGCATGTTTCTTGAAATACATCTCCTGGAAATATGGATGCATGTTGAGTCCTTTTGTACCAAAATGGTAAGTACGTGAGATATCTGGTATTATGCACTCTCGGCCTTTTCGTATTTCAGGCAAACGCATCCACATGTCCCAGTCCCAAAATTTATCAGGTGTTGGCCATTGCAGCTCTAGCTCTTCTTTGTATAGTTTACGTTTTAGTACCCTACAATAACATGTCAAAATTATACATATTACAGTAAATATATCACTAGAATGCAGTATACCAAAAATAGTAAAAACTTTGGAGGGAAACTACTCACTAATTTTTGCAATTTTCTGGTAGTGCATCATTTCTAATTATACAAACCACTGGAAAGATCATTTGTTTTGTCAATGATTTCTAACATCTTATTACTACTCACCAGCCTAATCCAGGCATGGTTTCAATACGATAAAGCATAGAGTTATCCCCAACAGAATGATCATAGCCCTAAATCAAGATAGATAATCAAATTAAATAACTATTAACTGATATTATCAGGGAGACATTTAGGGAGAAAGATTGTGGAGTTTGTTGTAATACTATGTACTTTGGTCTTCCTGTGTATGATATCTTAGGATCAACCTGAAGATGGSCTGGTAGTTTACACTTTGAGCTTGTGTTATAATTTTGGTCAAAGCTTTAAAATCTTTAATTATGTCTGGGCCTTTAATAAAGTTGAACTTAAAAACGAGTGCCAGAGGTGAGCTCAAGGGAGGACAGAAAGGAAAATGTGAAGGAATTAAAGAAGAATRAAAAAGAAAGAATGTTAAGAAAACCTGGTCATTCCATGCAGAGATACAATAAATACTGTCATCTTCATCCATCAAAGGAAGCAATTGTTTAAAATAGTTGAATAAATCTGGAGATATGTCTAAGTCTTCTTCCAATATTATCATGTAGTTGGCATTTGGGTAAAGGTTGAATGTAGTTGTTAAACTGGCTTTGTAATGCTGAAATTACAAGAAAAACGTTAATCAAATCCTTTTCATGAATTGCATTTTGTATCAGTCTGCCACTATCACAAGGCTTGTTATTAAGTATCTGCAATAGTGAGTGTCYGCTATTCTATAAAGGGAGCTCTGTTCCATAAGTTCTTTGGTGCAGGGATGTATAATTTATTCAGTGCCATCCCATAATAATAGCACTACAATGTTGACAGTTCAAAAATCACCTGACTGGCATGACAGATAACACTCCAACATGGACAACCTCAGTAAAAGGTACCAGATCACTGATTTTGACCTCTAGAGGAATGACCAGCAGCCCCACCCCTTTGAGATGTAGAAAACCYCTCCCCTCAGGACACCCATTATTTAAAAATTCAACAGATGACCACTGTTAACCAATGGCAGCATGTGATAATGATATTATATACAGTAGTTTGGATATAAAATAGTTGTATGACATAATTACCTGAGATATTCTAGCATTTTTACTGCTAACAGGTGTATGCTGGATTCCTCTCAAGCCAAGCAGCTTAGCAACAGCCAATGGCTCATCAAAAAAACCATCAATAAACACAGTAACTTTATCAGCTTGAGCTCCATGAGATGACAGCATGGATCGCAGCATTCTGTACAAATAGTGAGGTCTGTTGCTTGCAATAACTGCTACTGGTAGCTCCACGTGTTGATTGTTTGGTAGTGGTTCAGACTTAATTTCAATGTCAGCAGGATTTGAACCTAATAAGAGCCAGAACAAATGAATTAATGTACAAATGAATTAATTGTAAGTGGCACATTAAGAAAATACAACTTACACTGTCTACACTGTACACTGTATTTTCAATAGAAGTATATTTTTACATTCATATGCATGAATATTAATTTTCACAACAATTATTACATTATTATGACCAGTAGTTKTACAATTACATTATCATTCATCCTGATAAAAATACTTACAGCTACACACACTTCCATATCCTTCATACTTGCTACAGAAGTCTTTTCTTCTTCTATTTGCTTTAGTATCCTCCCATTGACATTCACTAACTTCCACTGACTGTAGTGGGAATAACAGTTCTACTGATACAGGATCTGCCCATGTATTAACTGACTTGGATTTCTGGAAACCTTCAGCGTAGACTTTGCCTTTCTTTTGAACAACAAATGCCCATGTGTCTCTCCAGCCTAAACGGCCAAAGTTCTCACTGCCTAATGTTTTCATTAAGTTTCTGGCAGTTGTTTTCAAAGAAAGCGATGCCTCATCCTGAAACAACAACATGAAGATACATGCATCACTGAACGACTTCCGTATAGGAAGTTTTATGCCTCTATTTTTTAACCAAATTCAAAAAAYTTAATCTATATGCCAGTATAGAAGAAGAGCAATCATTCAGAGATTGTAAATTTATGTATAACAAATGCAGCCACATTTACCTTGAGTGTAAAACATAAAATTCTACCATCTGACACCATGTTAACAAAAAGCACCAACGCTTCTGAGTCTTCTTTGGATGAGTATGTATCAAATGTTCTCGTTGCCATGACTGCACCAGTTGCTTGATTTAAAACTATAACACTAATACCACGTCCTTTTTCTGGATCAGAAGCTTCAAACACCTGAACAATATATGGAAAAGATTTAAAAATTATATAGTCTCCTCGCAGCCGTTCTTAGTGGGGGACAGGGAGACCGCCACTAAGAATGGCTGCGAGGAGACTAAAAATTATATTGCCATAAGGAATATCAAGATTACAGTATTATGTACAATGGTATCAACCTCAAATCTTCCATTGATTSGTGCCTTTTCCAGGCAAGGTTCTAAACTGTCTGTGCTGTGATCCATGCACCTGCACCACACAGACATGAAAAAACTAGAATGACAATTAGTCTGTTCATACCTTTGAGCCATCAACAGAAATAACTCCAGATTCTTTACTTGAATAAACTTCAATACGGATTTTGTGCTTATCACCTTGTGTATCTTTGACCACTGTAAAAAAGGAAGTTAGATTTGGACTTAGGGGATAATCAT